TAGGAAGTAGGATTATGGCTGTAGGAGGTGGGGCTATGGCTGTAGGAAATGGGGGCTCTAGCTCTAGGTGGGGGCTCTGGCTGTGAGGGTTACTTTCTGTAGGCAGCACATTCACTTATGTACCAAGAACACTTGGAAGGAAGGAGGCACCTCCAGTGCATCTCTGTAGGACCAATTTTGTGGAATCTACGTATATTTTTCTAAGCCCTGAAGAACACAACACAGACTAGAGCTTTCTCTAATAAAGGAGTCTTGCATTCTTCAGAATTGTGACTCAAGACAGATGGTTGCTCCACAGACCCATTCCTTCTACTTCTCCTCTTTGAGTAAGATGAGCCTTTCAAATCAATTCTCTTTGAAGTCAGCTCAGCTGGACACTGCTGCCTTTAGCCTCCTAAGAAGAAAAGCAGTCATTACAAGGACTCTGCTAATTCGTCTCTTCCTCACTTCTAAAGGTCAAGTTGCCAGGCTGACATCTGTATAGCACCACTACCTGCAGTTCAATGAGAAGGCCATTTGATTTAGTCTCTCAAGTTCATAATGGAGCCACAAGTCAGGTCTTTGTGAGCCCAAGAACTTGCCATCTTGTAGATTTATGATCCAAAAATCGTAGTAAGTAGAGCATCTCACCACAATGGCAGGCATGAGACATGGTTAAGTGGAAATAAAGAACATCTACTCACAATGTACCTTCAGAATTATGCCAACCTCCTATAAGATGTTTAGGGAGGCCAGATTAAATGCAAAATGATGCCACTAATGACCAGACCTGCTGAAAATAGACACTTGGGAAGAGAAGGGGAGGGATGGGTGGGAGAGAAAGGAAGGGAAGGCCATGTGTTCTCTCACCTGACTGATAGTCGTTTTGCATTTTCTCTAGTTCCGCCCAGATCCGCCTCTCTATTTGACTCATTTTCTTGGATACTTTATTTTCTATGGCCTTCGCTTTGTTTACTTCTGCCTCCTGTTTCTGAGAATTAATAAAATTCTCCAACTTGCTTGAAAGTTGAAGCATTTTTTCTTCCATCTTATTCTCAGACTTTTCCTTAAAATAAATTAAAAAATATGAGAGAGAGAGAGAGAGAGAGAGAGAGAGAGAGAGAGAGAGAGAGAG